ACAAAAAGCCACAGATTTCACTCATCAGAGCATCTTCAGCGCATATTTTAAAACTTGTTGGATAGAACACACGGTGACTTTTGGATAAAATACATGTGTCGCAACAGAAGTCAGATTCGTGCAAGTTTAAAAACAGACTTGGAAATAGTCGCCTTAGGTAAGAAAATAATGGATGTCACAACCATATAAGATGTATATTATGTGCCCTACTAATGTTGATGTCATCCATGTATATTATCCAGCCGCCCAGGTTTGTTTTCTCTGTTTTTTCATTTGCTAGTTAGTCATGGGTGTGAGCCATAGAGATGCTGTAGGGGAACAATCCTCTTCTTTCCCTGCCTGTAGCACGTCGAGGGAAAGAAAAAAGATATACAGTGCAACTCAAAAGTATATTGTTTTGAGCTTTTTTAATAAATAGTGAATAAAACAGTGATGTTTTAAATAAACCTTCTCATTTTATTTATTAAAAAAAAGTGTTGAAAGGTTTTTAATTTCAAATTAATTTTTATTTTTTAATTTGTTCAATCAAGTTCTCAATTGAGATTTTGATTTTAAGAATCAATTCAATTACATCCCTATCAAATTTAAATGTCAACCTTAAAGTGACCACCTTTTTTATTTTGATCAATGGTGTTGAATTTGTACATTTTAATCCTTAATTGATCAATAAAATTCTAAATTCTTTAATTTAGCTCTTGTTTCGGTTAATTCCACCCCTATATTCACACGTCTTTTTTAATTAGTCCTTACTTTTTGATTTCTTCAATTAAATCTCTAATGGCCCATTAAAATTTAATATTTATCCAAGTAAACCCTTGAATTGACTAATTAAAATTTAATATTTATGCAAGTAAACCCTTAAATTGACTAAAATAACTCCTAAAAATTATAATTCACCCCCAAGCTGTAATTTCTTTCAATTCAAGTCTAAATTGACTTAAAATTATTTTTTCTTACTATCAAACCCTTCATAAATTTAATTAAACATTCGATAAAATCTAATTGAGTCCTTAAACATTTGATTTTGTACTTTTCATCTTTAATTTAAATTTTCTTTGTCAATAAGACTTTCATCAATCTATAAAATTTTAATTTTTATATTTTTAAATTTTCTTAACTAATTTTTAGCCATTTTCTAGGTACTCCGACATCTTTTTTCATTGCTAAATATTTTTTATTTTTTTTGCTGAATTTTTGTTTATTTGTTTTTGTATTTCTTTTGTGGGGCTGATGCACAAGACAGCTATAATACTCTCAACTATAGTAGTAGCTGGGTGTGCATGGACTCTGATACGGGAGTCGTGTTTCATGTGTTGTGTGAGAAAGTTAAATTATTGAAGATACCAAAGTTTCTAGATGAATATGTCGCTATACAATTTGTTTATGCAATGGTGGTCTATGAATAATGCCTTGTTAAAGTTCATTTATCCTTTCATACTAGGATTCGCTTGTAAGTTTTGTTGAATAAAGTTTTTATACCTTGATTCGAAAATGTCCAAGCATTAACTATTATGGGTTAATCTATTTACTGATGGGATCTAGTGGTACAAATACTTTAAACAATATTGAACTTGAATATTTTTAAGACTTATTTTTTTATTTAAAATCAAAAGAAACACTAATACTTTTAATATACAATGTAATGATGCATGTTAAGTCTATTGATTCTAAATAGCAAGAGTGAATAGCAAAACACATTTTGAAATAGCAAGAGTGAATAGCAAAACACATTTTGAAATAGCAAGAGTGAATAGCAAAACACATTTTGAAATTAGCGCACGTGAATACGTGCACTATCTCAATGAAAAAAAAGCCACAGATTTCACTCATCAGAGCATCTTCAGCGCATATTTTAAAACTTGCTGGATCGGCGACTTTTGGATAAAATACGTCAAGTAAGAAAATAAGTCTAAAATGCCACAACCATATCTAGCTTTCTATGTTGCCACTAAGATGTATGTTGTGTGCCCTCCTCATGTTGATGTCATCCATGTATATTATCCAGCCGCCCGCAAGGCTTGTCTTTTCTGTTTTTTCATTTGCTAGTTAGTCATGGGTGCATGCGAGTCTTGTCGATTTTTGGGTCTCTAGCCAGAAGAGAGAGAGAGAGAGAGAGGGAGAGATGCTGCAGAGGAACAATCTTCTTCTTCCTCTGCCTGGAGCACGTTCAAGGAAAGAAGAAAATATACAATGCCACTCAAAATTGCAATCGTTTTGAGTTCTTTTTTAAACAAAGTCAATATTGTTTGGAAAAAAACGAGTCATTTTATTTACAAGAAAATGGTGTAAAAAAGTATCTATTTTCAAATTAATTCTTATTTTTCAATTTGTTCAATCAAGTTATTAATTAAAATTTTGATTTTAAAAATCAATTTAATTGTATCTCAGTTAAATTTAAATATCAACCCTGAAGTGACTGCCTTTTTTATTCTGCGTTGATTTTGAATTTATACCTTTTGACCCTTATTAATCAACAAACTTTCAATTTCTTTACTTTAGCTCTTGTTTTAGTCAATTTCAACCCTTATATTTATATGCATTTTCCACTTTAGTCTTTGTTTTTTGATTTCTTTAATCAAATCCCTAATTGCTCATTAAACATCAATATTTATGCAACTAAATCCTTGAATTGACCAAAATAACTCCTAAAAATTATAATTTGCCTCCAAGCTTTAATTTCTTTCAATTAAAACTTAAATTGACTTAAAAATTATTTTTTCTTACTTTCAAACCCTTCAAAATTTTAATTAAACCTTCAATAAAATTTAATTGAGTCCTTAAACATTTGATTTCGGACTTTTCATCCTTAAATTGAATTTTCTTTGTCAATAGAACCTTCATCAATTAAAAATATACTATCAAATTTCAATTTTTATATTTTCAAACTTTCTCAACCATTCTTTAACTATTTTTTAGACACCTCGATGTTCTTTTTTCGCTAATATATATTTTTAAGTTTTTTCCTTCTAATATTTTCTTTTTTATTTTTTTATTTTTTTTGGTATAAGATCCAAAAATAGATAATAACAATGACCCATGACTATTATTAGTTTATAAAGCCATGTCAGTGAATAATTTGATAGGCTTATGTTAGGTTCATTAAACCTAGTCCAAATCTTAAGAGGAGATATCGCTAAACAATTTGTTTATGCAACAGTGGTCTATGAATAATGCCTTATTCAAGTTCATTTATCCTATACTACTAGGATTCACTCATAAGTTTTGTTGAATAAAGGTTTTGTACCATGATCCTAAAATATCCAAGCATTAATCACTATGGGTTAATATATTTAGTGGTGGCCGAATCTAGTGGCACAAATACTTTAAATAATATTAAATTTAAATATTTTTAAGACTTATTTTTTATTTAAAATTAAAAAAAATATATTTTTAATATACAGTGTAATGATCCATGTTGAGTCTAGTGTAATGATCCATGTTGAGTCTATTGACCCTAAATACCAAGAGTAAATAGCAAAACACATTTTGAAATGATTTTAAAACAACAAGGATGGTTTGTAAAGGTTTGAACATGATACCGAATATGGCTACACATAAATATTTATGTAGGTCAATTCAAAATCCACAAGATTTGGAGCTTAATTTAGATTTTATTTTATTTTAAATTAATTTTTGATATTAACTTAGCTATATTTGGATGACTAACATATTGATTTATAGCTAGTTATATGCATTTTTTGTAAATTGTATTTTGATGTTGGAAAACTTAATTGTATGAATTGCAAATTTTAAAAAGAAAAGAGTTGATGACATAATAAACTATCACAGGATACCTCAATTAGAGAAGTTGAAAATACATTATACAACACGCAATTTGCAATTGACATCTATAATTAGCAAGTCATAGACTGTATTTGCAATAATACTCTCAACTATAGTAGTAGCTGGGTGTGCATGGACTCTGATACGGGAGTCGTGTTTCATGTGTTGTGTCATCTAACAGCTTAAACTTTTAGGTGAGATGGTTTTTTGACATGATATCAGAGCCTTAATAACTAAACGATCACGAGTTCGAATCTTATCATCCCTATTTATTTCATAAAAATTAAGTACAAGATAATGTGGGCCTATATAAGTTTCAAACTTAAAGAGCTTTCACTTAAAAGAATGTGTTATAAAATAATATAAATTATATCCTAAAACCTCACTTAACAATTTAAATTTTTAAGTAAAATGATTCTTTGACAGCACGAGGATACGGGAGCCGTGTATCATGTGTCGTGTGAGAAAGTTAAATTATTGAAGTTACCAAAGGTCCCATGACGTGTGAGAAAGTTAAATTATTGAAGATACCTACCTAACAGCTTAAATTTTTAGGTGAGATGGTTTTTTGATATGATATCAGAGCCTTAATAACCAAACGATCACGAGTTCGAATCTTATCATCCCTATTTATTTCATAAAAATTAAGCACAAGATAATGTGGGCCTATATAAATTTCAAGCTTAAAGAGCTTTCACTTGAAGGGGTGTGTTAGAAAATAATATAAATTATATCCTAAAATCTCACTTAACAATTTAAACTTTTAGGTAAGATGATTCTTTGAATACGGGAGCCGTGTATCATGTGTCGTGTGAGAAAGTTAAATTATTGAAGTTACCAAAGGTCCCATGACGTGTGAGAAAGTTAAATTATTGAAGATACCAAATGTACAACAGCAAAACAGAATGATAATCCACACCCAAATTCACTTCAATTCTTTAATAGTTCTTTATTGTGTGGTCACTTGCCAGTACTATAAATCACTGTCGAACATGAGAGCTTTGTGATCAGATGCAGACCAAAGTCCCTTTGGAGTGTTAAAATTGTTGATCTAAGCTACCTCTTCCGTTATCCTCTTAAATCTTCTTCCTCTTAAATATTACACGCATAAATAGATATGGAGGAGATTCGCCGGGCTGCTGGAGCTTATTACAAACATCTGCCCGAAAATAAAAAGGAACAGGCCAGAAAGACTTTCAATGCCATGGATAAGAACGGAGACGGGAAAATTAGCGTACGTGAATACGTGGACTATCTCAATGAAAATAAAGCCACAGATTTCACTCATCAGAGCATCTTCAGCGCATATTTTAAAACTTGGTGGATGGAACACACGGTGACTTTTGGATAAAATACATGTGTCGCAACAGAAGTCAAGTAAGAAAATAATGGATGTGCTCGTTTAAAAAGACACAAGTGCCATCTTCTGCGATAACTATACTTTACTTTGTCAAAGCAGGAGCGCGACACAAGCGGCCCCAACAAAGGTAATAAATTTTAGGAACTAAAACAATAAGATATTTTTATTATACATTTGCCAAAATTCACTGATAACTCGTTGTTCATGGAGCATTACGTTTGGAGCTTCCTTCAAGATTCTGAATTTGGATCTAGTTAGGATCTTTTGAGCTGAACGCTATGCATGACATGGCTTTTGAGATAGGACAGCTATTGATTACTACTCAATCAAAGGTTAATCAATGATTTCTTTTCTCTTGTAGAGCTTTACAAGCTCTCTAGGTTTTGTTTTATTATTATATTTCTTCTCTGCTTTACATTTGAATTCCCATTCTTCGTATTGATTGAACTTCTTTAATTCTCTGGATGAAGAGATTAATTATATTTTCAGGACTGGCTTCAAAATAACTAGTGGAATCCTCATGTTTTCATTATTACAAACATTATCTCCATCTAATTGATAAATAAATACTATATTAAGTATAAAAACATGTTTGCTTATAAAATATGAACTCAACCTCTAATATATTTGCATATTTTCTTTTATTTCAGAAGCAAACCATGGTGCTTAACGTCGTTAAAAAGGGACTGCAAGTTGCAGGCATAACTAGTAGTGATGTTGGAGGCATAACTGGTATTGGTGATGGTGAATCAAGATCTAACTGTAGCATTATGTGAAAGAAACCAATGATGCATTTTATCACCAGTCAAATGCATCCAATCGTACAATAAATATCTCCGATGAGCTAAGAGGAAATGACTGAAAATTTACTGGAAACTCTTCAAGTGGGCTCTGATCCAGTAGAGAATAAACTCAAGTTGCTTTGTATTGCTGTGTGTCTTTTCTGTGGCAATAATTGTATTCTCATGCATTCGATCTCCATAGTCTCATGTGTACTTTTGGAGGGCATTGAGAACTTGTTTAATCTTAAGCTGCTTTTGTGTAAAATCATGTAGTTAATGAAGCTTTTCTAGTAAAATCATTGAGCACCATCACAACTGATTTCTGAGCCCCGTCACAAGTGATTCCATTGCAAGCAAGATTAGCTCATGTATGTCGGTGGGAGAAACCATTTATGGTAGCTTTGAAACACTCGGAGGAGATAAAACACACTGTTTTTCAACTGTTTTATTTCAAAAACAATAAACTTACAACATAAACAAAAGCTTACAATACACACCCTCTCTTTCTCTCTTTCTCTCTAGTGTTTCTCTCAAATCTCTCCACACATAATTACATAAGCTTACCTGCCTATTTATACACGAATTCAAAATAAGAAAATTCAACCTTCAAGTGTGAAGGCGGTTGTTGCCGACTATGTGAAAGCGGCTGGCGACCGGTGGCTAGCAGCTGGATGGTTGGGTGGTGGCAGCTGGTGGTTGCCTTCCTTGACCTTCTAGATTAAGTTTACTTCAACAAATCTCCCCCTTAAACTCAATCAAAGGATGTCATTCCAAGCATGAATTTCAATCTGATAAATACTTCTCTCTTCAATGGCTTG